TCAAGGACGGCCTCGGAAAACATCTGTAAGAGTCGACAGAATTATCAAAATGATATCAGTCGCTGATCCGCGCAAATCTGCGCAGTACATTACTCGTGAATTACAACAAGATCATGGAATCAATATTCATGTTTCAACTGTAAAACGTCGACTTAAGGACCTCGGTTTACTAGGTCGCCATCCTAGCAAGAAACCTTTCATCAGTGTGCGAAATAAGAAGGCTAGGATTGAGTTTGCAAATACGCATCGTAACTGGACAGTTAAAGATTGTTAAAGATTGTTAAAGTCTAAAGTGTTATGGATGAAAGTAAATTCAACTTGGTATCTTCTGATGGCATAAAATATGTTCGTCGCCCCAAAAATGAAAGAAATAACCCACGGTATCAAGTACCTACTGTAAAACATGGTGGGGGACATGTCATGGTTTGGGGGTGTTTCTCCGCTAAGGGCACCGGTCCCTTATTCCGTGTAGAAGGTACAATGGATCGATTCATTTATCAGGATATCTTAGAAAAACAAATGTTACCTTATGCCAAGAAACATATGCCACGAAAATGGATATTCCAGCAGGATAACGACCTAAAACACCGTTCTAAACTAATCGAAAAGTATTTTTTAAAGAAAAAGATCAATATTTTGAAGTGGCCTAGTCAAAGTCCTGATTTGAATCCGATTGAACATTTATGGGAAGAATTAGACAGACGTGTTAGAACACAGAATTACTCTAATCAGGACGATTTTTTCTGCACTTTGCAAAATGAGTGGACGAAAATTCCCCAAAACAGTATAATAAAAATTATCGAGTCTATATCTAGAAGATGTGAAGCTGTGTTATCGGCAAAAGGATATGCAACTAAATATTAGTGTTCACTGATATCGTAACAATGTGTTTAACAAATGTTTGTCACTTTATTTAAAAACATATTACTACATAGTCGTTAAAAACTAACATGTCAAATCACTTATGAACCATGATAAAGTAAAGTTTTGTTTATGTTATATT